AAAAAAAAAAGAAAAAAAAAAAAAAGAAGACTTACAAAAAAAATGATTCAATTCAAAGGCCCAATGGCATGTTGAAGGTGTTGTTTTCTTTTGGTGTGTATTTTCTCTAGGTTCCAGTTTTCCTTTCAGGGGACATCCTGACCTAGGATGAAGAGGAGCTGCAGCTTTTTGAGATATGAGGCGATTTGGCGGATGTGAAAAGGATGACGAAGACATTGGGAGCGGGATCGGCATCAACACGGAATTGGATACATTGCACCTGCCTTGAGTATCGATGACGACGGTCGAGAGCCTGAGAGAATGAGCGCATACTCACACTAGGGCTTTTCTGGATCTTTCGGACGAAAATTGCGGCTTCCCCTGCACGCACCAGGCCTCGATTACGTTCAGATTCGAGTTGACCAAGTCCTAGCGTGAGTATGCCCTGAATCCAATCGCCATTTTCCGGTCGCCAATGGATCAGGAGAGGGAATCGAATTGCCACTGGACGGATGAGGCAGGGGGCGACTCTCTCTCTTCCTCACTTACTCCCTCCCTCCTTCCTTCCCTTTTGCGTACATGATGATCGATGAAAAGGGGGGCGAGGGGTGGGTGACGCTAATAATTATTATTACTTATAACATTAAATTATTACCTATGGAGCCTTCGTGAGAGTCAAGATGTGATAAGCACAGGAGCTGTATTCCGATTAATACGATATCCGTTTAGTCACAACGGGCAATGCCGGTCGAAGGATTATTCGTGTGTGGGTCAGTGCTTAAACCACCAGTACGTTTCCCCGCTTGGAAATAAAAGCAGCGTGGGTATATCTGGAAACCAAGCGGGAAAGGGCCGCCGTTGATAAATTTCATCGGTGGCCCGTTTTTTGTTTCGGGCATCCGAAATTGCCCGCGGCCGATACATGGGAAATGTACTGGTGGCTTTTTTTTTTTTTTTTTTTTTTTTTTTTGAAATACAAAAAATCCATCTATTGGTGGGGAGCGTCACCTGCTGGAACCCGGGTCCATCGTCCCAGAAAAAAGATATCTGTGGGGTCTGCCAGCATTGATTACCCTGCTACCCAGGGGATTGACTGAGCAGGCTTTTAAAAAGGACCTCTTCGCCCTCAAGAGAATGTACTGGTGGCTTAAGGGTAATGCTGGTCGAAGGATTATTCGTGTGTGGATAAGTGCTTACGGGTGACGCTGGTCGGCGGATTCCAATGGCGATGGGTAATGCTGGTCGATGTGCGTTTCTTCGAGGCCGCTCTCTCCTGTGTTGTTGGCGTCGGCATGGACGGTATTCAAATCTGACGAGAGCCATCGCTACCCTTGTTCTCGCACCGGTCTTGTTCCTGAACTTTCTTCTGCCAGACGTCACTCACAGGCCCGGCGAGGACCCCTCTTCCTTACCTTTCTCTTTCCACCCCCTCACTCTCTCTTCCCCTAGTTATGCATCTTCATCATCACCCCACCCCGCTCTTACTTCTGGACGGGCGGCCCTTCGCCCGCGGAACGTACCCCCCTCTCCCCCGCCTCCTCCTTCACCTAATACAAGCTTTCTCACAATCTGGACGATCTTGCGCGAGTTACCTGTGGATGATGCGAGAGCGGTAGCACTCTTCTTGGACCAAGCAGAAGCAGACGCCGTATCTGCTGGACGAGGAGGACACACAGGAGGAGGAGGAGGAGGAGGAGGAGACTGTGAAGGGTTAGAGATTGCGGAGGAGGCAGGTGCCGCACATAAGTCTCTACAAAAGCTATTGTCACAGCTCTCCTCCAGCATTGCCACCCTCTCCGTCAACACCTCATCTCTCACCTCTTCCAACACCTCCATCCTCTCATCGATGTTGGCTTTGCTTCCCACCTATAATGCACTTAGGAGCTGGATGCAACTTCCTGGAGTGTCTTTACTGCTATTCGGCAGGTCGGAGGATTGCGATTTCATTAAGCGAGCAGTCATGTCAAACTTCACGGAGAAGAAGAAGAAGACAACAAGGAAGAGGAGGAAGGAGAGGAACGAGGAGATCGCAAAGGAGGAGGAGAAGAAGAAGAAGGTGGGAGCTAACCCATCTCCCAAAAAGCGAGGACTATGGCGCCGAGAGGAACGTGCTACTATCAACATTGCGCCAAATTTCAATGTTTTATATAATAATAGCACCACCAACGATTATGATGATGATGATAAATCTGAGGAGGAGGAGGAGGAGGAGGAGGAGGAGGAGGAGGAGGAGGAGGAGGAAGGGTGTCTGTGGAGAGACCGGGTGCGGTGTGAAGTAATTGATGATGCTTGCATGTCAAAGAAGTTTGGAATCCCTACATACAATTGTATGTTTGCCAAAGCGAAATCTTTGTCCGCAACCGATTTCCTCTTGTACTCCAACTCCGACATGGTTTATTTCGATGACCTTTTGGCGGCGTTTTCAAAAGTTCGCAGAGACTTCCCAGCTGGATCGTTCTTGATGACTGGCGCAAGATACGACCTTTGGTACTTAAAGCGCATCGACTTCCGATCGCCGGCAAAATACGACGCCTTTCGCTCCTTTGCGATCCGCGCTCGCACCTATCATGGGGAAAGCGGCCTCGATTACTTCTTGTACCATAGGAGTGATCCCGCCATCGCACTCATGCCACCATTCTTGGTTGGTCGCGTCCGATGGGATAACTGGCTTTTATCGCAATACAACCTCGACGAACATTTGGTCTCTATAGATTGCTCCAAGGTAGTCAATGCCATACACCTTAACCACAACCTCGTAGACATAACGAAGCTCCCCGTCTTCTCATCCACTCCTCGCAACACTTCTTTTTCTTCTCCTTCTTCTTCTTCTTCTTCTTTGTTGTCGTCTCCTGCTGCTACCACCACTACTGCTACTACTACTACTACTATTAGTACACCAACTCTCAATAGCAGTGCTAGTGGTGGTGGCGGTGCGGCTAATGCGACCAATAGTCATCGGCGACCAGGTACAAAGTACAACAAGGCCCTGGGGAGGACAAAATTGTATGATGTAAAAGATACGGGGGTGCTGTCGGGGACAAAAATGGAGTTACGTTTCAGTCCCAGTCCCGGACCGATATGGAATGATGGTGCCAATGTCCAGCAGAAGCAGGTGTTCCAAGTTAGTACCAAGAATCACCATGAAGTGCAATTTGAGCAGCAGCAGGAGGAGGGGGAGGAGGAGGAGCTGCACACTCATGATGTTCCACACACAAGTTCGCATTTGGCGGAGAAACAACGTGAAGATAGGGGGGGATCGGAATCGGCGTCTGGATCCCGGCGGGGTTCGGAATTGGGACTGGGATCGGGTTTGAGATCGGAACCAGGGTTGCGACTGGGATCCCTGACCCCAAGGTTGGACTCCGGTTGTCCGTCTCGGTGCGAGCTTGTGCGAAAGAGTCCGAACCTGCCTGTCATGGCACTTAGACATGGAAGGAAAGCTCGCCGGCTGATTGTGGCTACCGTCACGGAGGAGTACATCGACTTGGCCGTCAATTGGGTATGCTCTCTCCTGCGGTTGGGCATCACCAACTACCTTCTCCACACAGTGGATGAGCAGGTGCACAACGAGCTTGTCGCTCTCGGACTGCATTCCGTTCTGTCCACGTTGAATGACCAGTGGCCTTCTCCTTCTCCTTCTTCTTCTTCTTCTTCTTCTTCTTCTTCTTCTTCTTCTTCTTCTTCTTCTTCTTCTTCTTCTTCTATTTCTAATTCTGATGCTAAGAATAGTTCTAATTCGTCGGCTTTTGATTCGAACTCTGCTGATGTTGGTGGTGTCACTCGTGGGAATGGGTCGGAGGCGGGCATGGTTTCGATGATGGCGGCAAAGGACATCCGGGGTGGTCCTCGAAGGCGGCATATGGTGTTGTTGTCCCGTGCATTGTTTGTAGTCAGACTGTTGAGGATGCAGGTATTCGACTTCGTCTTTATGTGCGATGTCGATTCCTTCTTCTTCCATGATCCTTTCGAGGTACTCGAGAATCTGCAACAGCAGCAGCCACATAGGGAACTAAATAGAAAGAAGTCAAAAGACTATGGTGACGACAGGGAAGAGGAAGAAGAGGAGGAGGAGAAGCAGGAGGAGGAAGTGGAGGAGGAGGAGGAGGAGGAGGAGGAGGAGGAGGAGGAGGAGGAGGAGCAGGAGGAGCAGGAGAAGGAGAAGGAGGACAATAATGAGAAGGTTGAGGCGTTACAGAATCTGAAGCAGCAGCACCATCGTGAACGAGATAAGAAGAAGGACGGTTATGGTGGCAACAAGCTGGTGGGGGAGGAGAACGAAAACAACAACAACGAGGACGAGGAGGGTGATGGCGATAACCATGATGTCAACAACAACAACAACAACAACAACATTAACAACGACCATGACGAAGACGACGACGACAACGACAACAACAACAAGGAGGACAACGATCACGGCGACGACGACAACGGCGACGACAACAACAACAACAACACCGACAAGTATGACCGCGACTACGTCAATGATGACCTGGAAAAGGACGAGAACATCAAAAACAGCGGAAACAACAAAAAGAACAACAGCAGCACCAACGGTGATGACAAAGGCAACGGTGATAAGGGGGGCTATCAGTACGAGTTACTGACAAGTAGTAGTAGTAGTAGGAGGAGGAGGAGGAGGGGGAAGAGGAGGACGAGTGGTGGTGGTAATATGGAGGTGGAGAAAGCACATCACCCAAGGATGCTGGGATCAGAATTGTCGCTGAGCTTCGCCATATTCAGGTCCTATGGCCTCGGGTACGAGGCCATGGAATACGCAGTGGCTCTTGATCGGTTTTTCTCCCGACGGGCAGGTATGTACAGTAATAGTTCTGGCTTTAGTCATAGCGAGCATGGTGGAAGTCATTCTCATGATGATGGGAAAGGTGGTGAAAATGCGTCAATGCCATCGAGTGCGGGCGGGCATGATGGAGAAAAGTCGTTAGAAGAGCATCTAATAGGGGTCTTGGAGAGAGAAACAAGTCGGGAGAAGAATGACAGGCGGTGGGCTTCTCTACCACCGTGTCTCTTCCTCCATTCTGACGATGGCTATGGCGATGGCTATGGCGATGGCGATGATGATGGTGATGATGATGATGATGTCTTGTTCAAGAATGCGGCGCATCCACATGACTTTCGTGAAGATTGTGCGAGTAAGGAATGGCGACCGATAGCTATTCATGTCAACCATGTTCAGTCGATTGCTGAAAAACGCAAATGGCTAGAATCAGTGAATTGCTGGCACGTCAGTAAGCAGCACCGGAAGTGCAGTGGAAACCTGACAAACATCCCGACAATAAAATTTAAAAAAAATAAAAAATGAAATGAAAGTTTTGTGAGGTCTCATCACGAACACGGCTATAAGAGATTTGCAATCTAACTCGTGTTCCTTCTTTGCAGCTACTGCAGTTCCAGTGGAGGCTTTAGAAGCGCTTCCTCCCAGACCCTTGATCCGAGAACCACGGTCCCGGGAGCGAGGAGGGAATGCATTTTCCGAACCCTGTATGGGACCGGGCTTCTGTGATCGAGGGAATGCATTATTGGAACCCTGTCTGGGACTTGGGTTCTGGGACCGACGGAATGCATTCTCGGGACCCTGTCTGGGACCAAGGTTCTGGAACCAAGACCGGGTTGAGGGAATGCATTCTTGGAACCCTGTCTGGGATGGAGGTTCTGGGACCGCGGAAATGCATTCTTGGGACCTTGTCTGGGACTGGGGCTCTGGGACTGAGGGGGACTGCATTCTTGGAACCCTGTCTGGGACCAAGGTTCAGGAACCAAGACAGGGTTCGGATGATGCATCCCCTCCTCTCCTGTTGGATGGCCAGCAGCCGGTCATTCTGTTTCGGTCCCCCCCCCCTTTCAAAGGACATTCCCTTCCATCCCGCTCGCTGATACATCCTCCGCCCACGCTTCCAGGTGGTCTGTGTTCAAACACCCTCTTCTTTCTTTGCTGTGATTATTCTCTCTCTCTCTCTCTCTCTCTCTCTCTCTCTCTCTCTCTCTCTCTCTCTCTCTCTCTCTCTCTCTCTCT